GGCAAGACAGTTGCAATTTTTACGAAATGGCAAATGGAGAGACCGGGCCTGCCACACGGGCCAAGGAACACAAGGGGCATCTCTTTGAACACAAAATCCAAGGAACATCTTTTTACATCCTCTCCAATATCACAATATGTTTGCTCCTCGAACCAGCAGGTTCTCACGGAGCTGGACATAAAACATGTCTTAAATTACCCCAAATTGCAGCTATTACTGTCGTATATGTGACGGAGTTATTACCAAAGGCTGCTCCCTGTCGCTGCTAAAGACAGCAGCTCATGCTAACTTCAGCAGGTTATATCTCGCTCAACTGTGGTAACAGCGGTAACTGGCAATCATAATGCTTCTCTTTATCACTAAATTGATATTCATATGTATTATTTTTTTGCACAAATGAAATTGTAATAGCAGTTTTTTCTAATATAATTTTTAAACAAAATCTTGAAGTGAGAGAGAGAAACGGGAGAGGTTAGAGAGAAACAAGAGAAATAAGAGAGAAACAGATATATACAAAGTTTTATTATGTAATTTCCAAGGCAACAAAAATAGATGTTACAAAAGTCAACTGTAAAGGCATAGACTTAAGTAACAGAGAAGCGAGACTGGAAGAAGATAGCCGGACCGTCACGCTGTGGATCTGTCACACTGTGGATCTGTCACACTGTGGGTGTCACACCCTCGCACCTTCAGTCACACTGTCACACCATCACTTCTTCACACCGTCACAGTGTCTCCTCTACCGCCGCTCCTCCGTCACGCTCACTGTTACGTTACAAAACTCATCAACATGCACGTCACAGCTCAGAATATCGACCCTTTTTTAAGGGGTCGGTGTTGTGGGAAGCCAGGATGCTCTCACTTGGCGCCTCCTGTGTTATTGTTGTAGTTGCTGCTGTTCTTATTGTTATTGTTGTAGTTGTTGCTGCTGTCATTGTTTGTGTTAGTGTGGGTTAAATGAACAAATCCACAAGGGCCGTGACGAGGATTCGAACCTGCGTCCAAGAGGATCCCAGACGCTGCCGTAATCGACTGAGCTACGACATGGTCAAAAAAGTTGAAACCGAAGTTCTACTGAACTTAACTGATACTACTACTAATAATAACTATTAGCTACCGTGTAGTGTGGGTTATTGCTCTTCTTATAGCTTTCATGGTGAGATTCGGTCTGGTCAAATAATCTTCGCTTTATCTAATGCCTCCAGTTGTCACTGCACTTCTTTCTCCGTCTCTTCTATTTCCTTCAGTGTTGGAGCAGTACAAATACTTCCCTGTAGTTCTCCTTTATTTTTTCACGCACCTATTTTAAGTATGTTCATTTAGGGACATTTTCCTCCGTATGTGGCTATGTGTGAGTCGGTCTTTTGTCTTATACACTAAGTCGTTTTCATGTTACGTGTTGCTGCTCCTCTACTTGTAACACACTCATTCCTCTCTTCTTCTTGTGGCTCTCTTCTGGTTAGTTGTCTCTATATCTCCTACCTATTCTCTTGCTTCTCCTTACCTCATCTTATTGTCTTACCTCTCAGCACTGCCTGTCTAGCCATGGACGTGTTGTGTGAATTGTTATTTTGAGTCTTATAAGGGCTGTACGAATTGAGAATTTGCTTTACAGCGTTCTTTTGTTATATAATCCACCACTTCCGACATTGTGGGGCTCCATAGATGGCCTAAAAATCAGACTGAATTGCAGTTAGCTAGGTTTTGAGAGCCTGTACTCATCGTGAGCATCCTGGCCTGGATTGTGAGCCACCAATGCTCACATGATCAGCCACTATGAACCGTGTCCTGTATGAAGGCATCTCTCCCCCCGACCTTCCTCTAGCAGCGTGATGGTGGTGTTGGGAAGGGTCGGGAGGCGACGCTGGCGAAGAGTAACGGATTTACCAGTAGCGTCTCTGTGTGTGGGTTCCCGCGTCAGGTGACCTCGGGAGGACCACCACCTGCCCTGCCTAGTCATGTACCGGGTCCCCGGTCTTCTCTCCCGTCGCTGCTAATCAATAATCAATACATCATGGACTATTATGTGAAGCCGGCAGCATCATGAACAATTATGTGAAGCCGGCAGCATCATGAACAATTGTGTGAAGCTGGCAGCATCATGAACAATTATGTGAAGCCGGCAGCATCATGAACAATTATGTGAAGCCGGCAGCATCATGAACAATTGTGTGAAGCTGGCAGCATCATGAACAATTATGTGAAGCCGGCAGCATCATGAACAATTATGTGAAGCCGGCAGCTTGAACAGTGGGACATCAGCAATAACCACCCCCCCCCCCAATAACCAATCGATCCATAATTCGTGGTGATCTCGGTTTGATTATGGTACCAATCACAACAGAAGATTCACAGTGTAATCACAATAAGGTTGATGACCAAACCCGTCAGAAGACAGAAACGACGACGTTTCGGTCCGTTTCTTCATTTTGTTTATGTTGTTTGGTCATTAATCTTTCCAACCTACGTTAGACTAATGCTGGAATATGCAGTACGTTCTGACTTGTTTAATGTTAATGCTAAGAGAGTTAGGCTATGAGTATAAATTGACGAAAATGGAGCTCTCAACCCGGGAAGAGAGAAGAAACCAGAGGATGACCACAACATACAAGATACTGAGGGGAATGGACAAGGACAGCCACTTTAAAGTGAGAGAAAGTAGGACAAAAAATAAGTGGAAGCTGGAAACGCAAATGAGTCGATCAAAAATAAGGAAATACTCGAACCCTGAAAGAAGTTGTGGAAGCCTCATTCATCCCAGCCCGTCCTCCAAACAAAGATCCAAAAGTGATTCCATCCACCCGCCAAACCCCCTGTTTATGAATGAAAAACGGTTTACACACGACTCACAACTGATTTCGTTCGAACACTTCCGGAACAAGTGCTTCACTGACGAGTTTTGTTCGAACCACATCGCTATAAATGCTTCACCCACGTACTACAAATGCAAATAATCGCCAACCAAACCTAAACATCTAACTTAACCTAACCTATGCCTATATATGCACAATATGCTAATATATTATAACATTAATTTATATTTGAGAAAATTCTTGTTTTGAATGAACAACATGTTAAAATTTATGAATGCGTCTGTGGGGGCGACCGCTGGATGTAATGGACTTGAGTCGAGGACGGGTTGTCCATCCACAACTTTAAGGCATCCGAACATTACAATCAAACAGTTAGAACAAGGGGCAGTAGGCGGGGCATAAGGAGCTAAACCTCACGCCCCTAGACACACGGATAGACAAGCACTGATACGCGAGTACTCCCACCACCAGCCTCCGCCAGCACCCTGACAGTTGATTCACAGTTAAGAGGCGGCCCGAAAGAGCAGAGCTCAACCCCCGCAAGCACAACTAGGTGAATACGGACCAACCTCCACCTGGACCAGCCCTCACCCCCCCCCCCCTCCCCCTACTGGCTCAGGCACAGTGCAATACTGACTATTACCGAGCCATTAATCCCCCGGTTAAATCACCGTCTCACTTGTTCGTTCAACCAGATTGGTGTTGCTGGCAAGTGTTGGTGTTGTCGGACTGATTGACTGTGACCTCTGTCAGGGAAGTGAAGGGGTCATCTTCCTGTCTGCCTCCTATTCTTATGTGCATACTTATTCCTATTCTTCTCTTTCTTTTTCATCCTGTTTATCTACTTAATTTTCCTGATATTCTTATTTTTATTCCTCATGTTCTTTTTCTTCTATTTTTGCATACTTTTTCTTCTACTTCCACCAAGTCTCTTTTCTTCTACTCCTTCTTGCGTTGCTCCATGGTGGAGTGATGGTGATGGCGGTGCTCCATGGTGGTGATAATGGTGGAGTGATGGTGATGGTGGTGCTCCATGGTGGAGTGATGGTGATGGTGGTGCTCCATGGTGGAGTGATGGTGATGGTGGTGCTCCATGGTGGAGTGATGGTGATGGTGGTGCTCCATGGTGGTGATAATGGTGGAGTGATGGTGATGGTGGTGCTCCATGGTGGAGTGATGGTGATGGTGGTGCTCCATGGTGGTGATAATGGTGGCGTTGCTCCATGGTGGAGTGATGGTGATGGTGGTGCTCCATGGTGGTGGTTCTCCATGGCTGCTTTGTTTACATTTATTAAACAGTTTTCGAGCTTGTAAACATCACAACCTAAGATTATTATTGTTATAAACAACCTCGTAGTGTTTGGGGCTCATAAACTGTGTAATAACTGTAAACAAGGCCGCCACGATTGAGGAAAGATGTAAAGGTTTCGCAAAGGGGAATTCGAACGTCAGAACAGATAATAATTCAGTAGGTACAAGGATAGCAGGCGGGGAATAAGGAGCTAGACCTCACTTCCGCATAGTTACAGATAGGTAAGTACATATAGTGTGGCGTACATTTCCCTTCCGGCTAAGCAAAGTTGGGTAATGTCACTACAGACGCGTGTCATGCGTTCTTAACTATGCGCTCCCCCATCGCGCATGCTGATAAAGCAGAGATGAGGTGTGGCTCGGCGGGTGTGCCCGCAGATGGTGCGGAGGCTGCGGGGAGTCCACATTGGTCAAATCAAGAGGGATTATTACAGCATCCGAAGCTCCCGTCAACAGTTACAAAGAGACTGTAAGTAGCGACTGTTTTGTTTACTAAGTCAGTGTTCAGTGTCTTTTCCTAACCCCCACTCACAGTAGCTCCCGTCTCCAGTCAGTCTGAGAGAACAGCTCGTCCTTCTAAGGTTTACCAACGTCAAGAAAACGGTCAATTTAATAAAGTGGTCTCTCCTAATCTATCAGAGGACCCAAAACAGAAAACGGGACAGTAGGTCACTTTCAACAGCCGGTTCTATTTTCTAGTAGGACAATTTTTGGCCGTAGGTAATGCATACGAGCGAACTGCGCGCGCGTGCGTGTGTGTGTGTGTGTGTGTGTGTGTGTGTGTGTGTGTGTGTGTGTGTGTGTGTGTGTGTGTGTGTGTGTGTGTGGTGAGTGGTGACCGCGATCTCTGAAGTCAATCATTCTGTTCTCCTGCAGCTATAAAGAGGAAGTGGAGAGTTGTGATGATGGGTGTAGCGGAGGCGGGTGTGGCGGTGCTCCTGCTGGTGCAAGGAACACTCTCTCTGCAAGGTGCCGGGGCATGTGAGGTGACTCTGGAGCCACGGAGCAGGTGAGTCAGGCGCCACGTAACAGGAGAGTCAGGAATTCAATTGACCTAGGTACCAGTTGCCTCAGGCATCATGCACTAGGTGTGTTAGTCAGGTTCCATGGATTAGATGAGTAAGGAGCCATGTACCAGGTGAGTCTGGTATCATGCATTAGGTGAGTCAGGTACCAAGTGACTCAAAGAACCATGGACCAGGTGAACCAGACACGACGGTACAAGGCACTCTGTTTTTTTCCTTGTGTACCCTCAGGAAGAAATAACTGTTTATCAAGAGTGATGGTGTGTCATTGTCGCTAAAATCTTCAGTTGCATAGTGTGTTGTAACTGTGCAACACCGTCAGGTGAGTCTCTTTCTTGTTGTTTTGTGTTTGTTTCTGTGTTGCGACAATGACATTGTGAGTTCCTTGTGATTACACAGATATATGTGGATACTTACGGGTATTGACATCACCACTCTACTGACCGCTGGTGTTTCTGAGTGATCTGAGTGACCAGTGGTGGCTCTCAATTACCTGCCACAATTCCTTCCACTCCAGCATGTGTTCGTCGGTGAAGCTGTTGTCTGGGGAAGCCAGCCAGGTTAACCAGAAGGTGCTGCAGGAACTGTGTGGGAAGGGCGAGCTGCACGTCTTGCTGAAGGACCAGGGTCCTCCTGTTGTCAGCTCCTCCCCATTTCAGGAGCCAGTGAAGGTAAGAAAGGATAAATGTGTTGACTTACCTAACATGGTTTGAGTGGGTTGAGTTCGAGCGCCTGAATGTATGTGACTGTGTTACTCAACTCATCTTTTGAACTCATTTTTGTCTCTACTCCCCATCTGTGTCTTCTTGTTCTGCTGTTACTGGTATTGGGCATTGCTGGTTTGTCTGCTTTGTAAATCTTACTTAGAATCTCGTATGTTTTTATGTGGTGAGGTAATGTTTACCTTGTCAACGTAACTCAGACACCTCGACTCAGAAACGAGTTTAGTTGTATATCTCTTTGAACCATTTATAGTTTAGTTTTGTACATCTTTAGGCGTTTTATTCACACGACAATTGCTTGAAATAAATATGCGTGTTTGTTATGGTGTTAATACAAGCACTCTACATTGCAGCGGGCGGAGCAGTACGCCGTGGTGAACCTGCACCGAGATGGCTTCAGCGACAGAGTCAACTGGACGTCTGGTGATGCTACAAACGTCTTCTGCGAGAAGAGGTGGTATGTAGACGAGGAGGTGGCCCTCACCAACGGCTATGCCTGGTACCGTCACGGCCTGCCCATGTGGCCGCTTCTCAACCAGGCCCTCGCTCCCAAACATCGCTTATTTTCTAGTCGAACAAAGCTAGATTGGCCAAACTACGCCATTGCCACTCCTCTCTACCTGGTACCCCGCGAGGTGGCCAACTTTCGCGATCCACGAGTAGCCATTCAGAAGCTGTTTGCAGGGGACTCTACCGGTTATCTGGCCGAACGCGGCCTTCACGATACATTTTCTCAATCTGCCAAATTCCAAAAGGATATCATTGATCTATATAACGACAAAGAAATGGACATGAACGACAACGCTACGAGCTACAGCAACTGGCTGCTGCCGCTCCTGACGCGAAGTCTTCCTCCTATGATCAACTCGTTCAAAGCAAGACAGAAACGACGAGCCTCGAAACATAGCGACATTTCCACCTGCCCCGACGCGCTGTATGTCTTCTTCCTGCGCAAGCCATGTTCCAGGACCAACACCTGCCTACTCCTCAACGAGCTGATGCTGGTTCTGAGGACCGTCGAGTGCTCTCCCTTCACCGATCTGGTGGTCGGGTACTCCAAGGAGTAGCTGAATTATATATGTATGGTGTGTGTGTTTGTGTATATCACAAATAAATAATGACGTGATATATCATTGAAAATCATTTTGAGGCAATGGAGTGATTGGAACCCTCGTTCTTGTGAATCCCATCATGGCGTAGTCGGCTGACTAACCTGCCTGCCCTAACCGACTCATGTTTACTCGGGTAATCGAGTAAGTAGACCAATCCACATACTAGAAAATGAAGGGACGACGACGTGTCGGTCCGTCCTGGACCATTCTTAAGTCGATTGTGAATGCTCCAGGACGGACCGAAACGTCGTCGTCCCTTCATTTTCTAGTATGTGTGGATTGGTCAACATACTTCAGCCACGTTATTGTGACTCATCGCCTAATCGAGTAAAGTCGTCTTGGATCCTAGAATAAGTTAATTAGGGTTAGATCTCATGGGGCCTTATCACTTCAGGTTAGATGTCTCCAGATGTACTAGAACATCTCTTTATATGGTACACCTTTGGCACAACTACACCTATTGAAATAGTACACATGTTGTAATAATATACGATATTACTAGTGCCACTGTAACACTAGTACACATGTTGTACAAGTACAACTTATCGACCAGTACGCAGTGGTTCCCCCGGACCTTCGAATTCTGGCCACGAACATTAAGGTCGTGGCTTAATATTCACAGGAGCGTCACGCTCCACCAGGCTCCCCCGTGGGTACAATATCCAAGCGTAACGTCGAACCAACGTTGATTCGACGTCGAACTAACGTCGAACCAACGTTGAGAACATTGATTCGACGTCGAACCAACGTCACTTGCATCTTGTGCCCACCGGGTTCATGCTCCTAACATAATGATATGAAAGAAAGAAAATTATACTTCAATAAAAGAACATTATAGACCCGTAAACAATATGGCGAATCTATTAATAGATGAACAAATGGTGAGATATTACACAACTGATAAATTTGATATGTTTATTTTGTACCCCACGTATACGACAAGGTGGATAATCAGTACAGGTTACAGATATTTATATTGTATTACTGACATACAACAAAAATAATACAAATATATATACAATTTAAAGATACAGCACTAATAAATTTAGAAAAAAGACTTTGTGTGTTTGTTTGAATATGAAAATCATTCTTTATACAATAGCCATTCAACAGAGCCAAACAGAGGACCATCACACAGATTTATTTACACAAACACCATATTCATTCATCCCATGTTAAAATATTTCAGCTATATTATCATTATATCCAATATATTCACAGTTATAATCAGTATATCCAATATATTCACAGTTATAATCAGTATATCCAATATATTCACAGTTATAATCAGTATATCCAATATATTCACAGTTATAATCAGTATGAACAAATATAACCAATTTTATGGTAATATGTATCAATATATCAAAAGTTAAATCGAGTTGATAATGGCCAAAGGATCGATTTACTGATGTCTGGGAAGTGAGGCGTGAGACGCAGTGTTCGGATCAAAACAATAACATTGACGGCGGCGGCGCCACGCCCAGTCAGTCAGTGTACCTGTCTTTGACACCCAGTCAGTGTACCCCTACCTGTCATTGACACGCGTAGCGGTACACCGCCTAACCACCGACCAAGGCTTCGTTAGTGATCCAAGCACATCAATATACTTAACCCAAGAGATCATCAGTAACTCTAATCCAGTCATATGTATACTCACGAGAACTCTCCTTATACTTACCAGCTACGCAACTGAAAGAAGTATCCTCCATGACCCAATCTGTGCCGTTGTAGGTGATATTGGTGCTTGGGACGCCCATAAGAGAGACAAAGCCGGATGCGCAGGAGTAGGTGAAGGTGGAGTTGACGATGTAGGGCGGGTCGGGCCCCACCAACACTCCAGCATTCACAGGCAGCACCACCGGTGTCTGGTTCGTGGCTGCTCCGGGAGAATGACACAGTTACAGTAGGTACTTTTAAAAGTTAAAAATCATTTAATGTTGTATATTATAATCTATATGAAAGGATATGTTTGTTTGCCCGTCTAAGGTCAGATACTTGGAACTGGCATATTGTATTCAGTAACTCTCAGTAACACCAAACTTTGTAGGGTTACTGAGAGGGAGAGGCGGGGAAGGGGGATGCGACCAACATTTACTACATGTTGGTCGAGGTACGTGGGTGATACCACGTTGAGATCTGTGTGCTGTACAGATGCATGTACAAATTACATATGTGCATGTACATATAAGTTACAGACTTATCCGTCACAGTCAGGGTTGGCCCCATCACTCCCATTAACATGGGGGTAAGCTTCCACGGCGTCCCCCATGACAAAAGGCGGCTAGAAGAGTCAATAGAATTATATAATTTCAAGGCACACTGGAAAAATATATAAATATATCTAATTTTATATTTATAAGAGAACGTCTGTCAGATTGTTCATCCAAGGCTTGAAGCCACACGCTTGGGGCAAGCCTCTCCCAAATTTGCAGGGTGAATGGTATGGGGTACAAGACGAATATAGGCTGGTCGGGGATGTCCTATTAAGATGGGGTCGGGCCCAATAGTGACTCACGTAATTGGTGAAAGGTGGCTGACCGAGTCCCTAGAAATTCAATGAAGGTGAATTCAGTATTATATTTTCCCATCATAATGACCCATCGAATGATCGGATGATTGATCTGTCGTACAACCTCGATATTTATTCTCGGCCATGTATGTCACTAAGGAGACGGCGATTTCTTGATCGTCAAGAAGTCCAATCCAATCATATATGTACTTAAGAGAACTTGTGTTTGTACTTACCTGCTAAGCACCTGAAAGAAGCGTCATCCATGACCCAGTCAGTGCCGTTGTAGGTGATATTGGTCTCTAGAAGGCCGGTAAAAGAGACGAAGCCGGGTGAGCAGGAGTAGGTGAGGGTGGAGGTGATGGTGTAGGGAGGGTCCGGCCCCACCAACACTCCGGCATTCACCGGCAGCATCACCGGTGGCTGGTCCGTGGCTGGTCCGGGAGAATGACACAGTTACAGTTGGTAATTAGGTCCAGAATTGAGAGACTCTTAATGTTTTAATAAATATGTATATACTTGTGTGTGTGTATATAAACTCTTCGCCCCTCAAGGATTCGAACTTGGGTGACCATGGGTTGGTCCACTAACCATTGGTCATGGTGCTGTTAGTGGGGGAAACCCCTGGCGGCCTGGATTCAAGTCCTCTGAGGGGTCATTGAGTTATACTGTATATATATATATTGTATATATATACTGTATATATGACTACATTACAGACAGTAATTTTGCAATGTTTAAAGTATCATACTATAAGCAGAGAGTGAAGACGGTACTCACGCACACCACAGCTGGGGAGTGGTGCAGGGGGGTGCCAGAGCCCGTCCTCCCCACACCTCACCTCCGTCACGTTCCCAACCACCTGGCTCTCCTGGAAGTGGATTGTTAAGCATGTCTTATCATTCACTAGGACACTAGGAGCCTCGAACCACCGACCCCAGAACTAGGAGACAGTTTCTCTATTGACCACGTTACGAACAAGCCACAATAAGAGAGGGTGCCAAGGACACACCCCTGGTATCCAACTGGGACCCTGTCTTATTCGTGGGTCCTCGGTTAGGTTAGGTGCAGGCAATTTAGTACATCATTTTTGTGACGTGACAACTGGAGAGGACGACCTGGTGCTCGACGGTCTGCAGGAGCATATAGGTAAGCACAATGACAGTCACAATGTGAGAACGCTTCCATATTTTCCAGCCCAGCCTCCTGAAATGTTAGTACCTGTAACAACTATTTGGTCAAACGTACCAATATGTAGTGATGGATCTCCCTCCAGAAAATTACATTTTGTACTGTTAATTGTATAGAGTCCAAGAATAAAAGCTAGAAACTAAATTTAAACAGTCCTAGTCTATATACTGTATGTACTTTCTTAGGCCTAGGATTGCTTGGACAGGTTAGGATAGATTCTTTACTTACATTGCCGATTTTCTAAAAATCTATTTGGGCTAGTTCAATAATAACAAACATGAACTTTTGGGGTCTAACAGTACAAATTGGCACGACCAAGCAGTTGCTCTAAGTACAACCATTTTAGGAGAATTAGCCTACTTTTTTCATATTAACTATTTTTCATATTAACTATATCAAAACATTCTACCAATATTATTCGCATATATTATTAGAGCTTTCTGTTAACAGTGTATATTAATTAAGATAAACAAATATACTAAGCGTATATGCACCAAAAGTTGGGACTTTATGCAGGAAATATTATTTTCGCTTTTGATAGTATTAGTTTGACTTTGAACACGATCGTCAGACGATATTCAGGCCTCAAGTGAAGGGAAAGAAAGCTGTAACATTTGTTAAGACACGATTGTTTGATGTGGTGTATGAGGCGTATGAGAAGATAATTTAAACGATCGTCTTAACTAGTTTAAATCATAGTTTTTACACTAAAAACTAAATATCATGCTACCATTGTATTTTCAGGAATACTAGTTGTAATACTAACCATTGTCGGGGGATAGGAAATCTGACTAAATCGAACTACTGAGCGTCACCAGGATGTAGCCTACTTTCCGGGTACAGTACATGTTTACCGCTAACTAAACAGACGCATCAGGTGAAAGGAAAGATGCCCAACCATTTGTCCCGCCTGGGGATCGAAGTCGAGACCCCAAATTGTTAGTCGAGAACGTAGACTACTGCACTACAGAACTACACGTGTTCAAACTCACATTAAGGACCATGAGTTGATCTGGGTAGCACATGTACTGCAGGGAGGAGCCTAGTGCTCTGGTGCGCATCACTTCATGGGTCATATTGGCCCCGGGCTGAGGAGGAGCCTCTGAACACCCTGTAACCCGAAGAAGAAATAAATAACAAATAATATTGATTAAACGAGTGAAATTAACAAGCGAATGAAGTGAATTCATAGGTGAAGTGAATTCTAACCATTATTAAAATGGTTAGTATATGCACTGGGAAAAATTACAAACGGAAGATTCTTTGACCTATCAATATTTACCTGTTTGTATCTACTGGTTAGTGAGGTCTAGTTCCTTATTCTTCGCTTACTGGCCTTGTTGTATTTGTTGCATTATAATTTATTCTGACCTTCGAATTCTTTGCAGAATCTGGCTTTAAAGTTGTGGATTGAGTTGGCTTATACAACTTCTAATTTTATTTGTGGATAGGTCATGGGCTCAGCACTAAACCAATCCATGCATAAGTTTAAGAAGGTCAAACGATGCCATGAGCTCTAATCTCAATGTACATACACTGAAAATTTATTTTAGATTATAATTCCATTCAGGACTGAAATAAACTTGCTGGTTGTTCAGTAATTCGGTTATTATCATATTATCCTATTTTTGAGTCAGTCCCAGCTACCGGCAAAGAACCATCCGCTCAGCGCTCGGCCTCAGGATGTAAACAAACAGACCACGCGCGCTACTCTATATCTGAACACCTTCTGAACTTAAGGTACACAACAAAGTTAAGATATATATCTACACAATAGTGTTCAGAATTACCAATAGCCATTTTATTGGAAAAAACAAGAATCTTGTAGATAGTTTATGATATAGAAGGACATTGGAGATAACCTTTTTGGCACGGCGTTGGCAGACTCCAGCCAGATTGGTTGCAGATGAGTAACTGTGTGACATTGAGTGATATCGAGTCGTCCAGCATGAAGGCGTGAAGACACGTGACGTTGACTGTGTCTCCGAGAGTATAGACGGCAGTGCTGAGCCAGTCAGTGGTGGCGTTGGCTACCAAGGGCTCCCCTACACAGTCTGTTGGTGAGTGAGCTATTTAATACTTGCTTTCTTTCAAGATTATCTATATCTTGGATTATTGGTATTGTTATCTACCTATATGGTAGATTATTATCTACTCAGATCGTAGGTTATTAGTATCTACCCGTAACGTAATCTCAGAGTAAACTCTCGAAAGTGATACTCACAGTATGCACAGGGAGGCAGCGAGGCTGGGTTCCACAAGCCGTCAACTCCACAGGTGACTGTCGTCTCATTCAGCAACGACGTGCTGCCCTGGTATATAAGTGTTATAATAGCGGTCGTGTTAACAAACGTTTTTGGGAGTATGAACAGATTTCATTTCCTGGGATACAGCGTCATCGTATGGTATAAAAAATAAACATAATCTACACGTAAAATACTAGGAATGAGGTTTCTTGGCAGCAGTGGTTGAAAGTAAACATTGGCATTCATTGTGAATGAAGTTTACTTAAACATTATCATTCATTGAGAGTGAAGTTTACATGTACTGTACCTGCCTTTCCTCCTGTGTTAAATGTCCAAATTGTGTAAGTGTTTACATCTACCAGCTACCTATTGTACAGTTTAATAACTTAGTCCTAAGTATCTAACTTCAGCCTAACTATGTGCTTTACACCTTATGTGTTTAAGCACATAATCTAATTTTCCAATAATTACGTCTAATAACATCACTCTTATAAATGGGTGAATACATATTTCTTTCATGCATTTAATTTCATCATACTTTATGCACGAACAGACAGTAGGCTCTAAAATCTTGTACCGACACGAAAATCATGCCGTCACAGTGACGTCACTCCTCATGCACACCAAATATAAAATACTAAAGATTTATCATTATTTTCGCTAGGTTCGATTGGGTTAGATTAGGTATGTTTAAAAGAGTAACGATGACGTAAAGGGGTACATACTTGTCTCGGGTTTTTAGACCCTACTCAGAACAGAAGGGCGAGTTCTCTAGCACAAAATAAACAATATGGCTTCATGAAGTTTTAACAGTCTTAAAGCATCTCAATATAGTCTTTGTCTCACTCAAACATCTCAATATAGCCTCTCACTCAAGCATCTCAATATAACCTTTGCTTTACTCAAGCATCTCAATATAGGCCTTGTCTCATCCAAGAATCTCAATATCATTTTTGTCTCACCCAAGAATCTCAATGTAGCCTTTGCCTCACGAAACTATATGCAAAATTAAATTATAATTTGGCTATGAAGTAAACCATCCTTGATACAGTACAGAAAAGATTATTGTGGTTTATTTTCATGCCGTGTATGTGAGAAGTGTCTACTGTGGGTTCTGTTTCAAAGTTGTCTGTACTGTGGGTTCTGTTTCAAAGTTATCTGTACTGTGGGTTCTGTTTCAAAGTTGTCTGTACTGAGGGTTCTGTTTCACAGCTGTCTGTACTGTAGGTTCTGTTTCACAGTTGTCTGCACTGTGGGTTGTTTCACAGTTGTCTGTACTGTGCGTTCTGTTTCACAGTTGTCTGTACTGAGGGTTCTGTTTCACAGTTGTCTGTACTGTGGGTTCTGTTTCACAGTTGTCTGTATACTGTGGGTTGTTTCACAGTTGTGCATCTGTCGTTTATCGAAAGAACCTCCATTTCTTTGCATTTTCTGAGAAAATAGTTATTATAGAAAATATAGTTGCTATAGAAAATATAGTTATTATAGAAAATATAGTTACTTTTGAAAATAAAGTTATTGTAGAATATAAAGTTACGATATAATATAAAGATAAAAAGTTACGATATAATATAAAGCTAATTTACAAATTAAAGTTAATTTTGAAAAGGTTTAAGTTAGAAAATAAATTTAATTTAGAGAATATAAGTTTATATAGAAAATCAAGTTATCGTAATTAAGAAAATAAAGCAAATTTAGACAATAAAGTAAAGTTAGAAAAATAAGTTAAAATTAATTAAATTAGTTAGAATTTAAAGTTTAATTTTGGAAGTAGTTATTTTTTAAAATAAAGTCAAATTAAAAATTAAAGTTAATTTAGAAAATTAAAGTTAATTTAGAAAATGAAAGGTAATTTAGAAATAAAAGGTAACTTAGAAATAAAAGTTAACTTAGAAAATAAAAGTTACAGTTATAGTTATAAAAAAAAACAGGATTTTGTATACGTCTCCTACGAAATGAATAACAAGAGACTATTATTAATAATAGAAAGCCAAGAGGAAAATAAATGTCGTATAAATAGAACGAAATCTTATACTAAATTTGTCTCTATATCAGTTGAAGACTAACAATAGGGAAAAATGTCGGAAAAAAGTACTCTTCGTCTGAAAAGAGCACTTTTTTTTTTACTTACATTGAGCACCATAAACTCTCCGGTAGGACAAGTGTAGGGGATCGTAGAGCCCACGTTGTTGTAAGTGATGTTCCAGGTTGTGTTTGGCGGCGCCACGGGGTCATCCACACACGCTGTCGAGAACTAGGTATCAGCAGACTGTGAGGTATCAGCAGACATATATATATATATACCTTCCGAGCCTTCCTTCTTACTATGGGGTCAGTGACTTGGGTAAATACTGGTTCGGTAACAGGGTTGTTGATTTGTGGAACCAATTACCGCGTAACGTGGTGGAGGTGGGGTCCCTCGATTGTTTCAAGCGCGGGTTGGACATGTATATGAGTGGGATTGGGTGGTTATAGATAGGAGCTGCCTCGTATGGGCCAATAGGCCTTCTGCAGTTGCCTTTGTTCTTATGTTCTTATATTATGACAGACGTGTCTCTTCACGTCTAGTTGATGAGGAACGTCTTGTCTTGATTTCGTGTTGATAGCGTACATGTTGATGAAGCATTCTAGGAAATGTAGAATGTTCCGTAACGTCTCACTAGGCTTTCTTATCTTAAATGTAACTGATCATTTAACATCTCTCTCTCATCTTTCTCAATTTTTGGTAATCGATCTTTTAACATATTTATCTTTCTCAACATCATGTTATCCAGCTTCTAACCAGAATATCATTACTCTGTAAAAAATTTCATTCTACATTAGAGCGAATATTTCAAATTCCAGCTTCTACAGTCTAGATTTAATTCTTTCCATTTTTCTTTCTTAGACAAAGACAATCTTCCGGTCTCATTTGGCTCTAGGAAAGGTAACCCAACTTTATAAATAGACAGTTTCTTGCCCCATGTAATTCTCAGTTCTTTTTAGTGCCATCTGTCTCACAATTGCCCTTATACGCTCTACTTTGCCTCTCCTTTCTTTTATTTGCCCTACATTGTTTCTCATTGCTCATATTCACATTACCTTTTCCTTATTCGCCCTAACTTAACCTCATTCACCATTCCTCGCCTTCCCTAGTTCTCTCCAACAAACACGCGATGTAACTACAACGTTGTGACAACGTAAAAATAACCGTTACGTTGTGTGCTTGGTGCATGGGTCTTCACCCTGGTGGGGTAAAGCATCAACCTTCCAAATGGAAGTGTGGACTAACCTAGGTAGCAGGGCGGAGCCTGTGACCAGCCAGACTCCGTGCAGTCGATGAGTAGGCTGGTGACCCCGAACTCCACTTGATATCCCGGCAGACAGGTGGCGTTGACTTGAGACCCGTTGAGGTACATGGTATTGGCGCTCCAGTCCGCTGTGGCGTTGCTCACCAGCGGTGCTCCCAAACACACTGTTGTGGGGAGAGAAATGGACGGGGAGTTACAGAGGTCGGTTAGCACATTCCCCTTGCATCACAAGGGTCACCAGTACCACAAGAAATTAATGCCCCGAGTGTGTGGGGTTCGGTTATATATATATTTACAACACCAGCACTATCTATACCCACCATCACACGGTTCAACCACACTGGGGATGAAGGTGTAGTTGGTTTTCTTCGCGGTGACCACAGAGGAGCAGGTAAGGTTTTGGGTAGTGTTGAACGTCTGGGTGGTCATGTTGGCGGGGCAGGTGAAGCTGAGGGTTCCGTTCAGCTTGTAGGAGTTGGGCCACCTGGTGATGTTCATGCCCGAGGGCCACACAGGCTCCCTACACACTGACGGCACAACGGCAAGGGCTCACAGTTTAGATTTATTGTAAAAAAAAACTCCCACCAAGCATTTATTACTTATATGGGTTTACTTGCTAAATTCTACTGTATTGTTCACTATACTATTGTTCATTATGGAGTTGTTTAAAATATTATTGCTCATTATGGTATTGTTAACTACTATTGTTCATCATACTAGTGTGCTCTATACTTTTGTTCACTATATTGTTCATTATGCTATTGTTCATCACCTTACTGTTCACCTTACTGTTAATATTGTTCATCATTCTACACTATTGGGTCAACAACTGGTGAATCTGACTCACTCACCATCAAGCGGTACACAGTTTGCCACAGATGAGCCCCAGTCTCCCAGCTGTCCCAAGCAAGTCTTGGTGGCCCCGGTGTACAGCACGTTACCGCCATAGAAGTACCCAGGGTAGCACCTGTCATACACATACATGCATGCATCAAATACAAATACCAAAAGATTCATAGATATACATATGTATTGACGCGCCCATTGCTTGTGACTGAGTGAGTACCTAGGACTTGCCACCCATCTGTTCTAGGTGCGTGTATAGGCATTTCATTTATATTTCTACAGGTGTTTACCTTTGAAAATGGGGTGGCTTAGTTCTCAAATGTAGGAACACGAACAAAGACAGGAACACGGACAAAGTCATGAGCGTGGACAAAACTATGAATACGGGCACAGACAGGAATAAGAACACGGACAAAGATAGGAACAAGGGCGTGAACATGAGAACAGTTATCAACATGGATGAACAACTAATGAGCAAAGACATTACCAAAAACATAAGACGAATAAGAACATATACATACTAACAAATAAGAACATACACGAACAAACAAAACACATACATACGAACAAACAGGAGTACAAACACACGAACAAACAAGAACACATACACACGAACATACAAGAACAAGCACTAAAAGAAACAAGAACAGACACCCAAACAAACGAGAACAAAAACACAAAAAAACAAGAACACACGCATGCAAAGAAACAAGAACACACATACAGGAACAAACAAACAAGAACACATACAGGAACAAACAAACAAATATACACACGAGGATCCAAGAATATGTACGCACAAACACATTCGGACGAAGAAACAAGAACACAAACAGTGACGCACACGAACTAAAAAATGGACACAGACTTACTTGTAATTGGCGGTGGAATTGAGAGTAACTGAGTAGTTGTAAGTCCTCGTCATGTTGGCCATGGCATCAGGAGCAGTGTTCCAACACTCTGTATAAACGTGTTTACAGATTATTATTAAGAGAGAGAGAGAGAGAGAGAGAGAGAGAGAGAGAGAGAGAGAGAGAGAGAGAGAGAGAGAGGCAGGAGCAGAGGCAAGAGATGAGGAAGAATAATAAGTATTGTTTGGGAAAGATGATGCTGCCACGCTATACTATATATTACGGTAGCATTATGATAGTGTATGAACAGCAAAGGTATTGAAAACATAAAATATATATAACGAAGACCTGGTTAATAATGAGTTTTATAAATATTTCTATATTGTATCCTAACTGATAAGTAATGTGTACGATTAGTGAAAAAAGAGTAATAAGAGTAAAAACAAGGAATAATAAGTTAAGGATAAGTTTAGAGCTTATATATTAATTATTAACAGTATAATCATATATATATGTTGTGTTTTGAATACCGGGCAGCGTGCCCCAGACACCTAACTGGGCACCAGTGCATCAGACATAATAGTGGGTATCGAACAGACTGCTGACTCTAACCCCTCATCCTGGGTACTAAACAACAGTCCACAACCCACCTTCTGGACCATAGAGCTGGCACACAGCATACTGCGTAGGTACAATCGAGGTGAGGTTTTCACTGATAAAGTACAGCGATTCATTGATGTCCAGCATGCGGAAGGAGCCGCCGCTACCCTGGGCCAAGCTCAGAATGTCGTCATTTGGAGCGTATATCCCTTGAACCGTTGAGTCTAGTCTGTAAACATAATATATAACATCTAAGATGTCCGTAATTTTAAACTTAATTATTCCATGCTTAGGTATATCTTGAAGCAATTATTCGCAAAATGTTATGATTTATCAACGATGCACAAATTTTTATGACGGAGCAACAAATCACAAACTAATTTCGTGAGAAACAATGAATAACACGCTATGATTTAGGAATGATTCATACAATATTTATAATATAATAAAACAATATAAATATAATAAAACAATATAATACAATATAATAAAACAAAGCCTCACAAAATAATGTTAAACAGGGGGTAGATTTCGTTGGAAATCATGTAAATATTGGTAAAGCCTATTCTCTTCTCTCCCACTGGTCAACATCCTCCTCTCGCGTCCCTTGTGTTGTGATCAGCGAGCAGTTCTCTCAGTAAACAATACTACCAAAGCATAGTACTGTCAATGAGCAGTTCGTACTGTTAGCGATCAGTACTATCAAGGGGAAGCTGCGTCGGGGTGGAAGGGGGGTGGCAGTACTATTAAGGAGAAGTTGTGTCAGGGGCAATACTATCAGATAGTAGTTGTGTCAGAGAGAAGAGTACTATCAGGGAGCAGTACTATAAAAATTAATATAATGGTAATGCAGCATGTGGGATGAATATCGTCATATTCCTACTCTCAACAGGCAATGTCACTTCCCCTAGTCTATATTCGTTTCGAAGTGTATCACATTCTCTCAAGGTGTAGTCAATATATATATATATATATGCCAGTGCATCATCCATGTTCTGTAAAAAATAAATCATACACCATAATAACACAATGTACCACAGTTGCATGCCTTACAATAACACTGCTCTTCCTGGTGGCAACACACCAGATATAAAATCCCATTAATAATACAGTTTTTTCCGAAATACTCACCTAAAGTTTAGTCCAAACAACACACTGATACCATTCGCCTGGAGAGGACCTACTGCAGTCTGGAACAAAACAAACAAAGTAACGTTTACTTAGTATGTTAATTTTCCAAAGCTGGTAAATCTTAGAAAGACCTTCTGGGTTAAGAATTTATTGAAACGCTATGTTTATATAATAACTGTTGTGTGGTTGACAGTTTGTATGTGGAGGGAGGGGGAGTAAGGGGTCATTACAGCGAGGAGCAGGAATGTCATTATTTTAATATTTAGTTTTCACATTGAACCTAATATTTCAAAATGAATATATTAATTCCTGGGTAATATGTACACACCCTGCAATACTCACTCACTCTCATACACACTCACTCACACACACACACTCACACACACACACACACACACACACACACACACACACACACACACACACACACACACACACACACACACACACACAACACACACACACACACACACGTGGGTAGATAAAGACAGGCTATTTAACACAAGGGGCACACGCACAAGGGGACACAGGTGGAAACTGAGCGCCCAAATGAGCCACAGAGATATTAGAAAGAACTTTTTTAGTGTCAGAGTGGTTGACAAATGGAATGCATTAGGAAGTGATGTGGTGGAGGCTGACTCCATACACAGTTTCAAGTGTAGATATGATAGAGCCCAATAGGCTCAGGAATCTGTACACCTGTTGATTGACGGTTGAGAGGCGGGACCAAAGAGCCAGAGCTCAACCCCCGCAAACACAACTAGGTGAGTAACTAGGTGAGTACACACACATACACACTCACTCTCTCACACACTCACTCTCTCTCACACACACACACTCACTCTCACACACACACACACTCTCACTGTCACATTCTCACTCACACTCACTCTCTCACACACTCTCACGCACGCACACACTCTCTCTCTCGTCCTGACACAACTCCACCCTGAGCCAGCTCACATAATATTCCCTCACCTTAACTAAGCCGACCAGGAAGTCGAGGACGTCGAGTGTCTCAGGGTAGGCGAGAGCAGCCCCCAGGCTGTTACAGGACATTAGAGCGCTCAGGAAGCTCCCCGGTGGAGTGACTTCCGTCAGCACAGTGTAGCACAGGCCCAGATGCGAGCTAAAGTTCCCCGGGCAGTAATCTGTGCCGCAGCGTTCAGAGAATATATGTGAAGGCGATGAGTCACAATAACATGGCTGAAGTATGTTGAACAGATCACACACTAGAAGGTGAAGGGACGACGACGTTTCAGTCCGTCCTGGACCATTTTCAAGTCGATTGTGAGAATGGTCCAGGACGAACCGAAACGTCGTCGTCCCCTTCACCTTCTAGTATGTGGTCTGGTCAAAATACATGTGAACACATATTGACGGAGTATAATGGGATCGAACCCGCGTCACCCGAACTCTTCAGACACGTGCACTATCGGTGGAGTTCAGAGACGCGGGTTCGATCCCGTGGTATGACTTCATTACTTCACAGATTAATCACATTCTAGTGTTTTCATTGTGTAAATGTTAGGTATGTTTTGTGATATAATTTTAGATACTCTTATGCTTGGTAATTACATTTAACGAGGGATTACCATGATTTTTTTATAATTCTGTAATTGATACAAATTAATAATTTACCTCAGTCATATTTCTTCATACCATGTTTACTTTTTTATTTTACTTATTCATAAACTTCAGTGAAGCTGAAATTTATCATTTAATTTGTGTTGTAATTTTATTGTGAATTCATTATATTTAAATAAGTGCGTGTTTATTATTCTTTTAAAGTTTATATAAAATACTGTGTTTCTTACTTTTGGAAGAAATAGTAAAGCTAATATTATTTTCATTACTAATAAAGCTGGAGAAACAACTATGTAGCCATGGTTATTAGTTCATTCTTACCTGTGTTTGCTATATTAATTCTTACCTTTTTTTATTTATTTTTTTATTTTAACTATAAGAAAATAAGGAGGGCTTGATTCCTGCCTTAGATAGCATGGTTCAGTAGTAGTAACAATAGACATTGTAGTGGCAGTAGTAGACACGTAGCAGTAGTATAAGTAATGAAGCAATATTCGTAGTAGAAGTAGTTATATTAATATTTATTATGGTCCTACGAGCCTTAACAGTAGTAGCAACAGTAGTGTAGTATTAACAAAAATTGATTCAGCAGAACAGTGACGTAGCAATAGTAACAGTAACAGCATTGCTATTATTTATGTGAGTTATATAGCTTTTATTTTTTATTATTTTTTTATAATAAAACTATTTTTTTTATAATAAATTTTGTTATTATTATTTATGTGAGTTATTTAGTCATTAGAGTAACTTCTTTGTTAATCCTGCAAACCAAATCTTGAAAATGTTATTGCCAGCATTGATCTGTCAACTGCAATATTGACGTTACTTTTTTCCAAGCAAAATGATCAAGTGTGTGTCTGTATAAAGTGAACAAGAGTTGATTGAGAGAAGGTGAACAAGTTGATCAAGAGAGTTGAACAAGAGAAAGAACAATCACTAAAACACAAGTGGTTCAGTGAAATTCAGGAATTCCTAATGGATTTAATAGCAAGTGTTCCGGATGAGGAGATTTACAAAACATGTTGCAAGTAAGAAAGATATACATCAAGCAATGCGCGAAAGCAAGAATTAAGAAAGCGTTGTGAGTGAAAATGATTGATGAAAGTGTTGCGAGAGTGAGATGAACACAAGCGAGGTACTTTAAGGTGTTACAAGCAGGTGATCACGAAAAAAAAAAGAGGAGAATTCAGGTGACATCAAAACTCACATGGTACTGTACACGAGGCGAAGGTGTCGTTCCTGTAACGGCTCTGAGCCCTGGCCACGATTGACGTCCCCTGTAAGCTGAGAGCCAAGCAGTCCAGATCTGCACTTCCCTGTCAACAATCCCAACTCTTTACCACATTTCCTTGCACACACACACATATTTGCACGATAATTGTACTTCATATTCCACCTCCATGACAAATCTCGCAGTATATTTGATTAGATTTTGTTGTTAGTGACATTATATTTCCCTTGCGCTAGGCGTCACGCATTGTAGGGCCCAACGTTGTCGTAACGGGAGAAATGGGAACTTCAATGGATTACACACAGAGATCACACTAACGTGATGCATCAAATGCGCAAATCCACAAGGGCCGTGACGAGGATTCGAACCTGCGTCCGGGAGCATCCCAGACACTGCCTTAATCGACTGAGCTACGACTGGGTAAAAGAGTTATCTGGGATGCTCCCGGACGCAGGTTCGAATCCTCGTCACGGCCCTTGTGGATTTGTTCACTTCAATAGCTGTTTGAAAATTGCCTACAAAACATATTGTAACGTACAGCTAAAGTTCAGAATGATATACAGGCATTATACTACGGATACAGGCACCACACTACGAATATAGACACCATGCTAAGGATGCAAGCATTCCACAAAGGATTCAAGTACCACACTGAGAATAGAAGGGCCACAGTAGAGTGTAGCTAGAATAGTGTACTCACCTAGTTGTGCTTACAAGTATATAGTGTATACAAGACAGAGGGCCACTACTTACCACACAAGTCTCTCCTGTGGCGCAGGTGTATGGTGGAGGTGGAGGATTGAAGCTAGAACCGTTGCTGCAATGTTGAAGAAAAATAAAAAAAACTAATTTAACCATATATATTTAAATTATTATATATAAGATTTTTATTCATGGTAATTTCAGTATATTTGTGCCTGATCAACATGGTGAGAAATTTGCTAAAGAACTTGAGGAGGTTACAGAATGCATTTTGTATTAATACCTAACAACACCCACTCATATGTTGAACTAACCTACACTTGAAATAATACAAAGGTTCCACACACATCTAGTACATTACCCGGCAACTATAAATCTGCCAAACCTGTTTCCAAACCAGTATTTACCCAGTTCTCTTCTGAATGTGAACTTACCCAATACGTGAGTATAATACCTGGGCAACCCGCGACCCGCTGCAACCTTCTCAAGTTCACAGTGCTTCTACGAACTCTGTTGAAGCCTCTCCATCAACATCTTTCACGTGTATATTAAGAGATATTATATTTTAACTAATCTCGAGACCAAATATATTTATTTGATTATATGACAGGTTCTTCTTATCTACCCTTTAAGCACAATAATTTATTTAGTAGCTCTCTGGGATAACTATCAAACGGGTCTCTGGGTGATAAGAGTAGTTCACACTATAGTAGTGTGAACTACTATAACAGTGTCACACTTATGATAAAAACTGTAATATTTTCATTAATGTGATTATATCCAATTAACGTAATTTGGGGAACATTAGCATCTCATGAGTGCAAATACTATATTGTATTACGTTTAAAGAACATTGTCAACATGTTATTTCTAACCTGAAGCATATTGCGTGCCAGATATACAAACTGGATAAGTTTCAATTCTACAAAAACTGGTCAATTCTGCTTTAGAAACATGATTGTTAGGTTTATGGAGCAAGTTACATATATCACAGATGTGGTGTCGCTGGACTGTTTCAAGCGTAATCGAGACGAATATATTAGTGGGTATGGAGCCGCGACGGGTCGTAAGGGCTGTGAGGTGGGGGAGGGGAGGGGGGTGTACGTACAAGATTGAAATTGAAATTGAAATAAGTTTATTGAGATAAAATACACACAAAAGGGATGAGGTAGCTCAAGGTATTTCAGTACAACGTGTTCATACATATATAGACACACATCACAAACAATAAACATATTGCCAAACATTCTGAGAAATAAACATATATATTTCCTACGTACAAGATGTGCCCAGTGTAGTAGAAGAGGTTCTGAGTGGCATTACTCAGCTCTTCCACGCTGGAGAACACCGCCAGGGACCCGTTCTTCTCTTTACACCTGCCATACACATAAGAACATAAGAACATAAGAACAAAGGTAACTGCAGAAGACCTATTGGCCCATACGAGGCAGCTCCTATTTATAACCACCCAATCCCACTCCACATACACCTTACTTATCACTTCATATATCTTATATACAGTTATAATGTTGATAAATGCAATGATAATTAAAAAATACAATAATGAGAATGTGAAGTAATAATTGCATTAATGATAAAAATAAGTGATAGTTATATTATTCAAGAAAAAGAAGAAAATGTGTCAGGTGAGCGTCTGAGATGCTCTTGGACGTAGGTTCGAATCCTCGTCACAGCCCTTGTGGATTTGTTCAAGAAAATGTGTATTTTACTGGTGGTGTTTCCCCACGACTCGGGTGAACGTTGGAATGCTTACTCGAGCGAGGCGCTGACGATGCCGTACTGGGGGATCTGAGAGGAGAACATGAAGCAGGCGCCCTTCACCTCGATGTATCCGGCAGGACATATCACTGCCAGGGGGAGAACAAGGATCACACTTGAAGACAATTAGATATCTAATATCTCAGACGTATCTGAGATACCTCAGACGTATCTGAGATACCTCAGACGTATCTGAGATACCTCAGACGTATCTGAGATACCTCAGACGTATCTGAGATACCTCAGACGTATCTGAGATACCTCAGACGTATCTGAGATACCTCAGACGTATCTGAGATACCTCAGACGTATCTGAGATACCTCAGACGTATCTGAGATACCTCAGACGTATCTGAGATACCTCAGACGTATCTGAGATACCTCAGACGTATCTGAGATACCTCAGACGTATCTGAGATACCTCAGACGTATCTGAGATACCTCAGACGTATCTGAGATACCTCAGACGTATCTGAGATACCTCAGACGTATCTGAGATACCTCAGACGTATCTGAGATACCTCAGACGTATCTGAGATACCTCAGATACGTCTTTGTAAGCACCGTTTATATCAGTCTCTCACATGTCAGTCACACGTTCAGAACCCCTAGCTGTACTAACAATAGATTGAGCATCTCTAGATGTTTATCTTTGGATCAAAATAATGTAGGCGATGAGTCACAATAACGTGGCTAAAGTATGTTGACCAGACCACACACTAGAAGGTGAAGGGACGACGACGTTTCGGTCCGTCGTGGATCATTCTCAAGTCGATTGTGAATGAGCGACTTGAGAATGACAATCGACTTGAGAATGGGTCCAGGACGGACCGAAACGTCGTCGTCCCTTCACCTTCTAGTGTGAGGTCTGGTCAACATCAAAATAATGTTTCTGAGAGAACTCGAGTAGCATCAAACTCTTCCTAACGTAAGATTTATGTAAATTTTTAAATTTTACATAACAGATTTCTACAAATATCTACAGTTCATATTTTTTTCCCCTTCAGACGTGTTCGGGAGGCACTCACGCGTACAGGGCAGCATTGGCACCCTACTCCAGTAGAAGCCCTTGGCATCAGACATGCACTCGACACTTCCGCTGGTGGTCACCCCGACGGTGGCGTTGCCCTCCGACAGACCGTCCAGGCAGGTGTAGTTGACAGTGGCCCCGATGGCGCGGCTGAGAGCGAGTTCGGTCACCGTCGTCCGTGGCCACGAGGGGTCGAAGGCCATCACTGCCGGGCAAGCAACACCTGCGGAGATAAGAAGCGGCAGAGGGTGAAGCTAAGATTCTCTGAAGGTGAGCTGAACGGGACCATAATATGGAAGTGAGAGAGAGAGAGAGAGAGAGAGAGAGAGAGAGAGAGAGAGAGAGAGAGAGAGAGAGAGAGAGAGAGAGAGAGAGAGAGAGAGAGAGAGAGAGAGAGAGAGAGAGAGAGAGAGAGAGAGAGAGAGAGAGAGAGAGAGAGAGAGAGAGAGAGAGAGAGAGAGAGAGAGAGAGAGAGAGAGAGAGAGAGAGAGAGAGAGAGAGAGAGAGAGAGACAGAGAGAGAGAGAGAGAGAGAGAGAGAGGGGCGGGGGCATGGGGAGAGTGAGGCTATGAGAAGGGAGCTGAGAAGAGAGAAATTACAAAAAAAATAAAAGAGAAATATTAGAGAAATGATGGTACGTGAAAATTTACCGATGATAACCATAGATGTTTAAAACACACGTATAACAGAGGGAGACTTGCTCCCAACACGCTCAAGCAAAACAGTAATTCTAGTATGTAAAAAAAAGTAAAATATTTCCTGTTAGAAATATAAAACAGACCTTGATTAAATTTCCGTACTAATGTTCCTATTGCTAATCGCTTCTGTCTAAACGCTGTGGTCATCTTATTCAGACGTAAACATCTATTAGTTCAGACTTAAGATTTAAGTAAAAAATCAGTTTTACAAAAAATTATTTTCGACGTAAGTCTTTTCAGCAGGCTAGCAAAAGTTGGTGCCAACTCAAAAAAGAACAATTCAGGCGTGAATCTTAGTCAAAATAAGATTCTAAACTTGTACAATAAGACAACGTACACACAAGAACAGAAAGAGACAATGGTCCAGTCCGTGCTGGACACTTACCAAGTGGTGGACACAATTTAGTAATTGTCTAGGACAGAACCATCGGTACTTTCATTTAGTTTCTTACGTGTGGATTGGGTTATTTTTAATCGTTTTCTTTGCAGCCTCTAGAATAAACTGACTACTAACTTTTAAACTGCTAAGCTATTTAAGAATCATTCAAGAAGGTGAAGAGGAAAAATAATAATAGTGAAAACCTGGAAGGGTCCACAGCATATGAGGAAAAATGCAGATAGTGAATGGAGCGTGTGTAAAGTTAACAGGACTTACCCTGGTCGAAAGTCTTGGGGCGGACGGTGACGATGGCTTGGACGAACGATAAGGTGCCCCACGTAATGCTGTCCCACCACATGGTTACCTGGAAAGTTTATATGGTTGTCAGTCACTAGGTCAAGCTCAGGGACGAACTCCAGTTCGGGGAGGCGGTTAAGGTAATGGGAGGAGGACGAAGTTGAGGTCAAGGATGAGGTCGATGCTGGCAGTGAGGTCGAGATCAGGTGAAGGATGAGAGACTACTCATGTCAATAGTCAGTAAAGGTTGTGAATATCTCCAACGTTCCAACATATTATCTGCCTCACTACTGACCTATCTTCTAATTTATGGCAAGGGATGTTTTGCTTGTCCATGTCTTCCCGTCCCATAACATTGTTAGTCAGTCTTTGTCTTTTTTGTCACTGCCTGACACCCTCTGTGTGTGTCTTTACTTGTTGTGACTGCTGCAGGGTTGAGCTGTTAGCTCTTGGACCCCGCGTTTCTAACCGTCGGTTGTCTAACATACTGACATCCCAGCCTCTTATCATATCTACTACACGTCCCCCTCTCTGTCTCTCTGTCTCTCTCTCTCTCTCTCTCTCTCTCTCTCTCTCTCTCTCTCTCTCTCTCTCTCTCTCTCTCTCTCTCTCTCTCTCTCTCTCTCTCTCTCTCTCTCTCTCTCTCTCTCTCTCTCTCTCTCTCTCTCTCTCTCTCTCTCTCTCTCTCTCTCTCTCTCTCTCTCTCTCTCTCTCTCTCTCTCTTGTCTATGTGTAAGCCTACTTACCAAATACAGCCATAAATGACTGTACGTTAACCATAATTAAATTCTGCTGGTGTTTGTCCCTACACATACACTCACATAATGGCCCTTAAGACCTTGAAACTCACGCAGGAACTACCAAGGGAGCAGGACCACAGAAGGGAGCTGGTGCCAACCCCCTGCCCAAGACTGGCGCTCAGAATCTCTCCTGAAACCACCAACACAAAATTTCAATAGTTAAATAGATATTGTAGTGGTTTAGATCACATTCAAATTCATTGATCTAAGTATTTATTTTTTTTACACATATTTCTCTAAATTACGAATATTTAGTTGTCAATTGTATAGCAAATATGTATCATTGATGTATCGAACATTATCATTTGATGGATGGGATATATATATATACCCCAATAGGTGTGTTTCACTCCTATGTGTCCATTCACTTATAATTTACCTTTGACCTGAATTATGTTCAGGACTAAAGTACACTTTTGGTTGACTAGTCAGCTGTTGTGATGGCCTTAAAGAACCATCCCGTGGTTGAAAGGACACCAGCCCTGGACAAAACCAGTATGACGAGAGAAACTTTATATTTTTTTACAGCAATGGATTAATGGAGAGCACAGGAGGAGCAGGACCTTACCAACGTTGCCCTGGTAGTTGCCCACGCTCTGGAGCACGAAGTTGGCTACACTATCCATCACTACACTGTCGTAGATGGCGAACCTGCTGGACCCGTCCTTCATCAACAGCTCCACCTGTGCAGGGACAGGTATGGTCATAAATTGTCACTTGTTCATGCATTAGGGACATGTATACACACACACATACACACACACACACACACACACACACACACACACACACACACACACACACACACACACACACACACACATACACATACACACACACACACACACACACACACACACACACACACACACACACACACACACACACACACACACACACACACACACACACACACACATGTATGTGTCTGTGTGTGTAAGAGTTGAGTTGGCGGGACAGTCGAGAGGCGGGATCAAAGAGCCAGAGCTCATCCCCCGCAAATACGTGAGCAAACACACACACTGGAAAAAGCTTAAAGCCTTAACACCATTGATTAATAACGCGAGAGAGGCATGAAAGTAGACCAATGAGCTTGCAAATGACTCGAATTGCATTAACTTGAATAGTTGGCACTAGGTACTGACCTGAACAACGAGAGGGCGAGCAGTGGTAACAGTTCCGTTCACGTCCCAGTTGAGATTGGCCCAGGTGTCGAAACCTGTACACAACACGAGAATAAACTCATTATGACTGAACAAAAAATGAAACGCAAAAAAAAAAAAAAACTGGAGTAACATCAACGTAGTTTTGTTGCCTCACATACCGTTACTATGGACAACGTTCTGTAATTTTTCTAAATGTGGTTAACAAGAATATTTCGTGAATAAATAACGAGGCAGTAAAATGGGTTCGAACCTGGATCTCTGATCACATCAAGGACAAATGTCTTCATTCATTCCATAATGTTCCTGTGATGTCATTGTAAAAGATATATCATTTTATGGTAAACGCTGTTCCGTAATTAATGGCTTAATAATATATACAAATACTGTTCCTGCTAAGTAACCTGATCCGTTGTATATCTCTAAATAAAACATTATTATAGAGTATATAGAGGCACCACTTCTAGTGCAATCGCAGGGACCCATAGCCACGTAGAAGAGAATAAAAGGTATTCAGAGAAGACCTTTCAGTCTCCCTGGACGCTTGTTAAGTATTATTATTATTATTATTATTATTGTTGAGAAAATCAATTGGAGCAATGCTAAGGATTCGACCTCTCGACATAGGTAGTCTTAAATATTCAGGTAAAAAACTGAGACAGACCAGAGAGATACTTGCCATTTTCTCAAGTTACTGCCGTCATGTTATGCTCCACCAATTTTCGTTTTCTTTCGTTTGGAGTGCAAGAAAACGTGAGCTGGAAGCCCCTTAAGCTAATTTATAATTTTAATTTTGTCTGGGACAGGCAGCCTGTGTATAAATATATATAGTTAGGTTTATTTCGAGGTCCCCCTCAAGGATGAACTCCTGACCTTCCCCAGGATGCAATCCCCACAACAGGTGACTAACCCCCGATATCTATTTACTGCTAGGTGATAGGAAAAGTGCCCAACTACTTCTATCCCATCCGAAATTCGAACTAGGGAATCCCAATTGTGAGGCGAGAACGAACTCCAACTGTTCAACTGAGATCTAGTTATCAACTAATTATAGAACATGTAGATTTTTATATATTTATATTTTACCAATCCTAAAATATCCAACACACCTAAAATGAATTTTGCCTAATCAAATAGTGTGAGTAGGCCTTATAAGCCCAACACCAATCCAGAGCAATTTGAAATTGAAATAAGTTTATTGAGGTAAAATACACACACAAAGGGATGAGGTAGCTCAAGCTATTCTCAACCCAACACCATTCCAAAGCAATTGTGGTGACCTTAAAATAATAACCCGCCAGAGGTTCATAGGTCCTTAACCCCGGCCCAACACACACACACAAGAAAGAAAACACGCGGACATCTCACCTATGAAGTAAAAGCTGCCATTATTGGGCTGGCCCGTCGCTCCAGTTAAGCTGAAGGCGAGGGGTGGCGTCAGCGGTACAGAGAGCCCAAGCACCTGCGTCCAGCCGCTATCGGCCGGGTCCTCGGACATGTCGCACCATACCTTCACGTCCGCAGAGGAAATTTATGTATTGATATATTTAGTTAGTTAGTTATTTACAAGGAGTTACAGTGGGTTGTGAAGACGCATCTGTTGATGGTTATGTGATACATTTCTGCGAAGATATTAACACGCAAAGCGTTTACTAAGGATAGAGCTAAGCCCAAGTGGTCACGGTTCTACGCATGTCACGGATGCGTAGAACCCAAGTGGTAGTTCTACGCATGTCACGGATGTGGCTATACAGCACTGGTCGTGTCACGAACGACTCAGGAGTGCCAACATATTCAGATTACCAACACGGAACAGAAAGTACCCAAGCTGAGCAATGTTGAAATGATTAGGTCCACCAAGGATTTTAGATTTAGATTCTTGTATTTGGTTTACGAACAGTACAGTAAATACTGTTATTGGAGGCGAAATGAACAATTAGCCGCGTACTATAGTTTGGTTTTTATTCCACCTAAAAGCAAAGCCTCCCTGTATAAACGCCATGTAATCAACATAATGGGTAAAAACATAAGGTAAAACAAAAGAGAATCACATAATAAAGCTAACATAAGTAATACTAAATACTACAAATCCCACCCAATGCTAACACCGTGTCTGTTAAACTCTAGTTTTCCAACACACCTTTAGTCACTAAAACAATACACTGTAATACAAAATAATAGGCTATATATAGGTCCTGTGGAGTGTATCGACATTTAAGGTAAGCTATGTTGCATCTACCACAAAGTAATGATACTTATGATATGTAATATGATTATAGAGCCGATTATAAGTTCTATAATACATTCATAAAATAATATAACTACAATTTGATTTACAAAAGTATTTGTGATGGATATCTTAGAGTTAATAGACAGCTAGGAAGCAAAATTTTCAATTATTCTGAAAATCCAAACATTACCCAGAGTATCGTTGAGTGTAAGTGACACCAAACCTTTAGAACAGAGTGTAATTGATGTGAGTTAATAATTAAATAATTTAAGTTGCAATAATAATCACCATACTTTTACTTTCTTGTATCCTCCATGGACTGGGTTAGAGAACTGTTACACAATGTATAATGCAGTGGCGCGTGAATATATTTTTAAAATATTAAAATTTAAATTTTGTTTAAATTAAAAAAAAACAAATACAGTAGTTTCTAAAATGTTTTTCCATTGATAAATTACCGGTAAGTTCCAACTGTTGCTGTTGTTTAACATTCGCTACCTGGAACAAAAACTTCCAAGTAGCACGGGCTATGGTGAGCCCGTAGTCAAAGTTCCACTGTTAACCAGCATGTGCACATTCTCGCCTGTGTTCCGTGGGGGGAATGCTGACAATAATGAGTGCTGAGGGCCAAGTTTAATGGATTCGATTTTGGGCGATAAGTTTATGGTCATTTTGCTCGCCTTTGGTACATTTGATCTTTTTATTGTCTCCCTCTCTGTGATATTTGTTCAGCTTAACGCTAATGATATTTACATGTATGTGTGAGGCTGCTTGTTGAGTATATATGAAACTTTGATATATATATATATATATATATATATATATATATATATATATATATATATATATGTATATATATGTATATGTATACATATATATATATATATATATATATATATATATATATATATATATATACATATATATATATATATATATATATATATATATATATATATATATATATATATATATATATATATATATATATATATATATATATATATATATATATATATATATATATTATTTATATATATATATATATATATATATATATATATATATATATATATATATATATATATATATCGAACAAGCTTGAATGGTCCCCAAGCATATATGCAACTGAAAACTCCACACCCTAGAAGTGCCTCGAACCCAGATAGCCAGGAGTACTATACAACTTGCAGAGTTGCATAGAGTTGCAGAGCAGCAGAGAGTTGAGTAGTTTAGCCAGTCTGTACGTGGGTGTAGGTTCCAGGATAATGATCGCTCAAAGTGGGTTTTATGGGTTTTGACAGTTTCATATGTATATCCAGATTTGTACTCTCCAGTAGCTTGCGACAGTTGAAATTCAGGCCTTTTTGGCATTGACAGTTTCAACCGATTTGTTTTAAGACTACGAGTAAATCTGGCATGCAAAATCAATTGTAATAAATTATATCTTGGTTAATTATATGTTCAGAATTGGTCATGGGATCAATGATGTCGGCCGCTGTGACCGTGAGAACAATCGATGCTGAAATGTGGCCGGCCCGTGCCAAGAATACCGAACTAATTATATTGGAGTTTATAGTAAACCCGTAAAATATAGCTCAGCTGAACACGTTTGATCGTTGCCGTTTTCTGTTAAGACATTTCTCTGTTTTGCTAACATTTCCTGTTCTGTTTATCTGTTTTCCATACACATGGGTATTCAAGCCTGATGCGGAGCATATGTACATTTTTCTTCTATTGTTTCCTCTTAACAAAACTCTTTCATAGTTGCTCGAATTTGTGTACCATCTTGGAGATCCTTGTGTTGTAGAGGCTTCAGAATGGTCACTGTACGTCTACAGCATTGCTCAAGGGTCTAGATCTAAATGTTTTCTTAATCTGTGCTAGTCTGTGTTTACATTCCTCTTTTTAGTTACTAATTTTGTAGCCTCATCTGCCAAATGTCAATAACTGGTATTCCTACAAAGCTTGGCACTTAGTTAATAAGTATTCGACGATCTTGAGTTTAAGTAAGGTCAGATGGATGTAGTCGCATAAGTGAACGTGTTGCAATGTGTTAGTTGTAGTTCTCGAATCTGCGTGTAAGGTGGTCTGTGTGCGTTTAGCCAGGGCGTGTTTAATTGGATTTTGAATGGCTATCATCTCTGTAAAGTGGAGCACCCGTTTGAGTCTCCAACTAAATATAGAATGCCCTACCTTAATCGCAGCTCTAGATGCTTCTCTGCTGGTCTACTGATTCGCCTGTGAAGTATGTGAAGCTGTCAAATACTCTCTATTTATATATTGTCTTGTGCATTGTTGCCTAGTAGATGAAGTTATTCCTATTCATTTTTTCTTAAAGAGCCACAATTCTAAAGTATGATGGTAATGGTTTCTTTCGTGCATAGCAAAATCTATTTGGACGTCGTCAACACCTTTCTTAGTGGTTGCATTTGTGATCTTAAAGGCATTGGAGGTGTTTAATGCACAGTGTGTGTTTTCACTTGTTGCCATTGGAGACTTTTCTGTCCTGTGTTAATGCTCCATTGATAATCAATTTTAAGTCTACTGTTTCTTAGGGTCTAGTTAATCTTGGTCAATATGCATCCAGCAACACCTGTTATCCTTATTTCAACCGCTGTTAGTTTGGTTTCCAGTCTTAAGTTTAGTATTTTAGTGCACCCGGGAAGCCTGCGTTATGCCTTGCATCGTTTTGAATAACCTCAACCTTAGCCAACTATGTAGAGTAGACAAAACGTATGTGTGCTGGTTAGCATTGTAAAAGCACTTCTATCACTTTCTGTGGTTGAGTGCTCAATAACTCACTACACTATATGTAGCATAACAGAACTCTAACTCTCTCCATGGAGACAAAACAAAATGTATATACAGTGGTTAGTGTTATATATAGTGGTTAGTATATACAGTGGTTAGTGTTATATATAGTGGTTAGTATATACAGTGGTTAGTGTTATATATAGTGGTTAGTATATACAGTGGTTAGTGACTGCAGCATCAGCGGTAGAAAATAAATCCCAGACAAAACTACACTGTGTAACTGGCCAACAAGAGTACACTGGCGGCAAGTTGTACTTTTGGAAAATGAACACTTTATAATTTGTGCGGGTAATACGAAATCATTTTGTTTTCACATATATGAAAAGTTCACAAAAATACATTCTTTTGGAAGAAAAGGAAATATATGCCCGAAACGCTGCGCGTACTAGTGGCTTTACAAGATTGTAAATACTATGCTATGTATTCTCTCAAACCCAATGTACCTTCTTGTATGTAAATAAATAAACAAATAAATAAATAAATATAACAAGAGCAAGATTATACGCTGAAAGAATACAGAAACAGGAGAATAATATAAGTTGCCTAATATTGGCCATTAAGACATGTAAAAAACAGAATTATTGAAAGAGTTTAACCCTGCTGCTAGAGGTATTGGAAATCAGGCATAGAGATTGGACCTCAGCCGGAGTGAATGGAAGAAGCAGCTGCAGAAACTCACTCAAAATTACCAGAGGCGGTGCAAGTGCCCCACTCCATAAGGCTTACCTGCACTTGCGGGTCCTTTACGTTTCCTGAAGGTACAACATTGTAGAGACCAGAGGCGTTGAAGCCGAGTTCGGCAAGTTCAGAGCAATCGCGAGGAGTCGCACACGCTGTGAAGGAGCATCAGGATAAAATAATGTTTATAATTTTTCTCGCTTTATTTGGGGATTGGCAAGGAATGAGTATGAGTTTGTGTATGTCTATGAGTTTGTGTATGAGTGTATACTGGAAGTAAACACAAACTGTACCAATATTTTGTACACCTCAGCATCATGACAAACAGACTTGCCCTTTTTTTTTACTGTCCAGTTCATTTTGTAGAATTAATTATATTAACGTTAGGCTATTAATATTGTTCTTTAATTTATACACAATATTTTTTAATTAAGACAATTTATGAATATGCAACTATTTTATGAGTTAAATTTTCTTGATTTTTTATATAAATACTTATAAATTATTTAATAAAGTTTCAAAATTTCAATATCAAAGTCAGTTACTTTTACTACTGATGTTATAGTTGAACAACTGTTGGCATTACTACTACTTTTTGTCATTACTAGGCCTATTGCTGTTGTCATTACTAGGCCTACTGATGACCAAGATATAACACCACTCATATTGTAAGCCAAAGAGTATACATATATTTTTTGTTTATGTCTACAAATGTGAGTCTGACTTACACTGATGTACACCTCTTCAGTCAAACACTCAACCACGTACACACTCAAGCACTCACACTTAAACACCCACAAAAACCACTCAACCACCCCATACACCCTCTTACATACCCACTCACAACCCCACCCCCTACACACCCACCATCTCAACCACCCACACAGCCACTCACTCACATATGACCCCCACTCATCCATCCACACTCACCCACCCACACACACACGCACACACACACAAACTCACCCTTACTCACCCTGGTCGCACACGTCCCTGATACTGGTCCAGTTACCGTTGATACATTGCGATGCCTGGGCCACCTCGCCTGAGAGCCATTGCATGAGAGGCTTACACACGAAAATGACACCAAAGGTGTCCCCGGTGGAGGCATTGAACCCCTCCTTCATGATTGCGTTGTCGGGAGTCGGCGGCTTATCCGAGCACGTAGGAACGGTATTTGTTACTGAGAAAGAAGGAACAAAGTATATTTATTTACTAATGTTCCTATACCGTTTATTTGTCGTTTCCCTACAGGTTGTCTCTGCCCTTCCCTCCCACATCCCTTCCCTACTAAAAACAAAGGTACTTCTATTTCACCTGTTTGTAAATCAACAAACCTTCCCCCCATATTCTATATTCCTCTCACTCTCACCCATTCCCAGCCTACTCCTCCCTTACCCATTCATATTCCCCTCACCCCTCCATCATCACCCAACCTCTCCCTCACCCATTCCCACGACATTCCTTACTATACTGTAAATATGTAGTGTTCTCTGAAATGAGAACATAAGAGTAGGCCTAACATACAATTGTGAGGCTGGTCCTGTTTACTTCTAACCAGTCATTCGTGTAAGGTATAGGCCCTGTTTACACCCAACACTAACACTCGTGAGGTGGGTCCTGTTTACACCCAAGCCTTATGACCATAAATATTATAAATTGCCTAGGCGAATTATTTAAATTATTTATATTTCACTTGGTATAGTGATACTTTTTATCTAAAATTTAACACAGTTGCAAATTACAGTTGAATAAGTATGTGCTAAAAGATTTGAAGACGATTAATTACTAACATGTGTATACACAATTAGAAAGTATGTTAGTATGGCTATTTTAGACTAAGAATGAGTTGAAAAAGGTGGTGGTGGGGGGGGGACCACTTGACCGGATACCGCAGTGTTCAATGGATTAATTTCCAGATATCACAGCCTCACCTGCACTCCCGCCTGTGCCCAAATAACAGGCCCGAAAGTGTATAGCTCTATATGCAAATAGATCCCTAATAGGCCTGGCTCTGACATCCATGATATTTATACATGGTTTCATGACTTATAAAGTTCTTTAATTACTTTATTCAAGACGCCACACATTCTTTGATACGGTCCGCCAACCACCATAACCATAAACCGCCATCCACCATGAAACCATAAATTTATTTAGGCTGGTTAAAGCTGGTTGTATTACTAAATTTGGCCAAATGGGAAACTGGCCTTGCGTGTCTCGAACTCACGCAAGGGTCACTTACAAGTCTAAAAAAAAATTCATTTGTGTATGTCAACTTCCTATATTTGAAATTTCTTTTTATCAGTAATTCGTATTTTTTTTTAAATCACAATAAAATCTCCCCTCTGAGTGAAAACGACCTAAAGTTTATATGTTTAAATCACTTATTTAAATAATTCGTTTGTTACATAATATATAATATCCATGCCATTAAGGCCTCTTGGATTAGGGTATATACCGAGAAGTGCAACGTGCTTCTCGGTGTATATACAACGAGTATACTTTATCCTGCACTATGTTTAGCACTAAAGTATTGTATATTTATGTTTTTATTATTATTATTATTATTATTATTATTATTATTATTATTATTATTATTATTATTATTATTATTATTATTATTATCTACCACAGACGTGGCCACACATTAACAATGCTAACCAGCATATATACATTTTTCTTCTGTCCTCCATGGACAGGGTTAGAGATTTGCTAAACATATAGTTCAGGGATTTATTGAACAATCAATCACAGAAGGTGATTGTAGTGCTGTTAAAATGCTAGGCTAAGCTACATACGTAAATACATAAATACACAGATTTACGTATGCTCTACATAAAGTGTTCGATGTGTCTATGTGGTGGTTGGTCGGTAGGCAATTGTGGTGGCCTTAGTAACTGTCTTCCAGAGGCTGATACCAAACCAGTAGCTTCTTGGACACAATGGAGAAAATACAAATTTCTGACATTTCAATCCAATTCCTACGTTATGAGTTATCTAGTTTGCTCAACTCCAACAGTCATATTAAAGATATACGAAAAGCAGATGTCATACATAATGGATGAAACACCTGCCCTTCTTGCCAACCATATGGTCAGTTCAAGTACTGCACTTGGGGCGGTGTATAACGCATACACATATTACTTACACCTGCCAGCAGTTGTTCACCTAAGGAATTGAACATGGCGTCCAATTAACATAAATCAAGGCCATGTTTGGCGACGCATCATGTATTTTAGCTAATTAAGGTACACTAACCTCACCCTTTTTAAAACTGTAGAGTTGAAGGCAACATCATCATCATTGATAAAAGTGCAATTCTCGCAAGAACCATAAACATTATGTGATATGTATCAATATAACAAACACTATCAATAATTATAAATGAAATAATAATACAAATCGATAACAAAAAATAAGACTAAATATTAAGAAAACTCGGCTTCTCACCACAGGTCACGTTGAATACAAATTGATAACAAAAATAAGATTAAATATTAGGAAAACTAGGCTTCTCGCCACAGGTCACGTTGAATACAAATTGATAAGAAAAAATAAGACTAAATATTAGGAAAACTCGGCTTCTCACCACAGGTCACGTTGCTCTCTAGCAGGGTCGGGTCGGAACAGTTGCTGGGAAGAAGACGGTCTCCGGTGTTCCAAATACTGGTCTCTGGGTTAGGACACGACCAGAACGTGGTTTTTCCGTTTATTGTCTTTCCTGTGTACCCTGACGGAGGCGTCACACACAGAGAGGGTACTGTTCCAAATATCACCTTACCCGGCACCCCTAGAAAATATGAGTCCAGATGTAAGCTAAGGAATTAATTATACGTATGCATCCAATATATATATATATATATATATATATATATATATATATATATATATATATATATATATATATATATATATGTTAGAAAGTGTGGTTTAAAACTTCATTTACGTAATTATTGGACAAATATTACAACGCTAGTATCTTGACTATTCCATATTTTAAGTACTAATTATCAGTTAATAATTATTATAATAATTATAAAGTTCATCCTTGTTTACGGTTTCTTTATATGATGGTTTTCTTTATAACCGAATTAAAGCTGCTATACAGTTTACTCATGCAGCACTAGGCTATTCATCAAGATTCACTTATCCAGCACTATGCTGTTCATCAATACGCATTCATCTAACACTAGGCTGCACAATCGACTTGAGAATGGTCCAGGACGGGCCGAAACGTCGTCGTCCCTTCACTTTCTAGTGCGTGGTCTGGTCAACTAGGATTCTCATCAACATTCACTCATCCAACACCTGGGTTACTCACCCAGCACTAATCATCAAGACATGATGAGCAGTTTTGTACAACAAATGTGTCATACTGATTTGCATGGCAATCATGTTCATTAACATCTGCCATGAAAATAAATTAGAAATTCAACGATAAAAAAAATGTCGGTGGTCAGCAAAATATTATATGAGGTGTCAGCAAATTATGAGTCATTAGTTATGAGTTATTACAACATATAAACCAGCTTTTGATATCAGGAAACTCACGAAAGGACAAATGCTGAATTTCAGTAATAATATTGTCAGCGTTCAAACACTTTCACGGTTAACCTTGTATTTTTAGAGGGACCAAATAGAGATACATATTAATGAATAGCTAAAACAGATGACCAAACTACACATCAGAAAATAAAGAAACGACGACGGTTCATTCCGTCGTGGACCATTATCAAGCCGTGTGATAATTTTGCTATGTCAGCTAAAACAACATACATCAACCATACTCATGAACTCAGTATTTATTATTTTCATCTAATGACGTAATAATGAGAAGCATATTTGTATAAACGTGGATAAGATGAAGTAACGTACCTGGGAGGAAGAGGACGGGCAGCACCAGCCAACCCTTCCAATTCATTTTTGTGAGACGAGACGAGTATGAGAGGAGTGTGATGAGCCGCGCACCGTGACCCAGCGGCGTCTTGGGAGACTGGCAGGCTCTGTCAAGCTGAGGATGAAGGGTGTCCACCGCCGCGCTTGCGCACTAGGGCTGGCAACATGTTGTTTGGGGGCGTTACATTCCTTCACCTCGTTCCTAGGGGACTTTCTGGTGCTCGTGGGAAATTGTCAGGAAATGACACTAAAAGAGCTTCGCGAGGGCCAGATTCACGAAGCAGTTGTTGTGTTGATTTACGGGCGACGACGATCATGGGATCGGATGCGCCTCCACGAAGCAGTTATGTAAGTACTTACGAGCGTATACATCTTTCCTCAATCTTTGACGGCTTTGGTGACATTTATTAAACAGTTTACAAGCATGAAAACTTCCCAATCAACTATTGTCAATCAACTGTTGTTATTGTTATAAACAGGCTCCTGGTGCTTCGGAGCTCATTATCTGTTTAATAATTGTAAACAAAGTCGCCAAAGATTGAGAAAAGATGTTCAGGTTCGTAAGTGTTTGCGTAACTTCTTCATGAATCTAGCCCTCGGTATTGAACTTTGATTCTCTCTTGAGCTGTAGATATGTGGTTTAAAGTAAGTCGTCTGTGGTCTATTAACTGTGATAAAATAAAAAATGATTGGCTCCGGGACACTGGAGAGGCAAATGAAACCAGTATGAAACTAGTTCACCACTAATGTAAATTTAACGATCATTGGGGTCCAGTAGCTGAACCCATGTGTAGCAGTAAACTTAATACCACTTATCATCATGGTGGGTATGGGGTCCATACCCATTATTATAGTGAAATTACCATACGGTATCAGGTACGGTTCGACTTGTTGTATAAGTTTGCAATTAAGAGACAATTCTTAGCCAGAACGACTAAACGGCATTACTTATTGCATATAATTGTCTGAGTGGACTCAGATTGGACCCAATTATACGTCCACTCAATCATGAACGGACTCATAATTGTCCACTCGCGTGAAAATATTACATTTTTAATATGATTTTCAAATGAGTATTCGGTAATCTTTTTATAGATTCGTTCCATAACCAATTTTAAAATTATCCGTGAATTTGTTGACGGGGAGTTCAAAATTACATAAAACCAATACACCGCAGAGATCAACTAATTTAATTATCACATGCAGTCAAGATTAAAATCAATTCGTGGGGTGTAGTATTGTTGGAGTGTCATGCAGAGAAAGACCACCTCGACTGGAGACCAGTCTCTGCTTAAGCTATGAAAGCCGGATACTGGTCTGTCTATAATATACCTGTAGAGAAGCCTAACAGGCAAGAGCCAGACACGTCTTCAAGGAATTGATTGCTGACATCGAGGACTATCTTAAGATATGTGATCAATATCTTAAGATAAGTTATGTATTCATGTATTATTGATCTTTACTCCCACATCTCGATTACAAACGGATTGTTGAATTTCCACAAATCTGTGTTGCTATCTAATGTCACAAGGCTTTAAGAACTATAATTATTTTCTCATTTGTCTACACCGAAAAGGAACATGAAGATCTAGATAACATATGAATAGGAATTTTAGAAAGCTGCTGAAGACTATGGAAAGAATCCTTTTCTAAGCTGGCCGAGTAAGCCGGACGACTCAAACAGAAAACGGAACAGTACGTCACTTGTGAGTCGATTTCATTTTAAATTACGTCCAAATTTGGCCATAGCGCGCATACGAGCCAAAAGTGACGTTATTTTTAAGAGGACGGGTTGCTATACGAGGCAGCTCCTATTTATATCCATCCCAACTCATGCATACGTATGTCTAACCTACGCTTGAAGTACTCCATAGATACACACAGAAGTCACAATAACGTGATACATGAAATGAACAAGTCCACAATGGCTTGTGAATTTGTCCATTTAATCCATAGATTTTACATCTGTATGATACCCGGTAAATTCTTCTATTAAACAACCCTCTTTTTTTTCCCCCAAACCAACTGGTGGCTTGTCTAAAGTTACCCCATCATTCAATGGGGATTGTTCCAGTTTGAATGGGAGGATTGTCTTGGTATTAACAGCTTTGACAGGTAGGAATTCCATGGGTTTATTACCCTATGGGGGCACAAGCACCTCCCTGTTGTTGGTTCTTAATAACACATTCCATAAATAGGTTTAAATATAGGTATTATGTGTGTGTATGGTCGCTTACGTCCCAGATATGACGTCCCTCGTGTTAACCCTCGCTTGGTATGGTCAGCCAACATACACAAGCTGGTGGTCATGGCTGCTAATGAGTTTGTTGAACGTGTTTGTGTGCACAAGGGAGCGTGTGTGTGTGTGTGTGTGTGTGTGTGTGTGTGTGTGTGTGTGTGTGTGTGTGTGTGTGTGTGTGTGTGTGTGTGTGTACTCACCTATTTGTGCTTGCAGGATCGAGCATTGACTCTTGGATCCCGCCTCTTGTTGTGTGTGTATCGGATCTTGTGTGTGTGTGTGTGTGTGTGTGTGTGTGTGTGTGTGTGTGTGTGTGTGTGTGTGTGTGTGTGTGTGTGTGTGTGTGTGAGCAAACCTCATGGAAAGAGGGTTCGTCCACCGTCAACTCCGTCAACGTTGGACGGTATATCATAGATCAATTCTTCAATTATATATTTTTCGTCTGCCCAGGACCTGCAGACACAAGGTCCGGGCAGACCGCAACTAAAGACTAGTCGGAATGTAGTAATCAAAGAATGAAGCGATAAGGAAGCAAAATAAAGACAAGAATACCATAGAACATAAAAGAAAACAAGACAGTGAAAAGCAGAAAGACAAATAATAAAATCACAAAGGCGACAAAGAGCAATGAGAATAAATAAAATGAAAGAAAAAACTAAAAAGGAAAACGCGAATAAAGTCATCAAAACGAGACAAATCACAGCACAAAATGGAACTTAAAGCAGCCTCAAAAACACATACAATTAACAGACCACTCTGAGGTAGGAATATTTTGCCTAACGCGACTTGATCAATACCACTCACCATTAACTTGGACTGTGTGATTTTAAGCTATATAAATGACAGACAAGCCAGGGGCCAACCCCCCGCCCACACACCAGGCCAACCCCCCCCCCCCCCCCACCACACACACCAGCCAACCCCCACACACCAGTCCAACACCCCCCTACACACCAGAAACAACCCCGCACCTTCACCCTGACTGAAGCCCTCGACTCTGTTCTTCCCTGCAGCTACTTGGGCCAGGTAGGGACCTGGTCCCTACCAGGGACCTCCTGAGTTGGGAGACCAGGTCCCTAAACTTGGGACCTGGTCTCCCAACTCGGCCCCGCCCAGCCTCCCACCCAACAACGCGCCCTGATGTAGCCTTTTCTTGAAAAAACTTTCACGCAAGATCGACAACAAGAACGTCACAACATTATTCATAAATAACTTACTCGCTGCACCGAATATGGGTTTCACTGCCCTTTGTATGGCTACCGGCTCGAACGAACATAATTCGTCGTGGCGAGGCTGACCAAACTGCCAAAAAAACATCGTGGAATAAATAAGAAATTAAACCACGTCTGACGAGAAAGAAATCACAGAGACCTGAAAACACCGGCATTAAATATTATGATGTGTTTAGATATGATGCGTCCAATCACTTGGACTGGACGGTAGAGCGACGGTCTAGCTTCATGCAGGTCGGCGTTCAATCCCCGACCGTCCAAGTGGTTGGGTACCATTCCTTTCCCCCGTCCCATCCCAAATCCTTATCCTGATCCCTTCCCAGTGCTACATAGTCGTCATGGCTTGGCACTTTATCCCTGATAGTTCCCTAAGATATGATGCCTATGTAATTATATGGGCAGGACAAGACGCAGACCAGACGGTGTGACACAGTAATTGCCAGGACCAGGGGTTGGGGTACAGTTACCTGTGGCAGGTGGCCGGCTGCAGGGCACGGATCTTGCAATCCTGAGCCCTGCATGTGCAGACTCTTGTCAACAGAAACTGGGTAATACTTTCCAAGATTACATGACTGGGATGACCAGTTGTTGGAGCTCTTCTGATCTATTGGTATGCTGTAACTAGAATATTACAGCTACTTTTATATGTTCATGTGTTCTTGTTAGTCTCAAAATGCTTCTGAGGTTTGATAGTGCTGGCTAACTGAATAATGCCCCCAAGGCTAACTAACTTGTCTGCCGCGGGCCACACTGCTTGTTTGCTCCGAGCCACATAGCTTGACTGCTCCGTCAAATAAAGCTTGTCTGCCCTGGCTCACACAACTTATCTACCCTTGGCCACACAACTTATCTACCCTTGGCCGCACAACTTATCTACCCTTGGCCACACACAGCATACCTATCCATATCCATAATGCATGACGGGGCTTTTTTCACCCAAAGGTTTGATAAGGGGAGGAACTGAGACTAATAATAGAAGTATTAGGATTGATTAAGAGGCTGAGGTGGTAGATGAAGCTGCGTGGCCGCGTTCACGGTAGTTTGTACTAGTTAGTGCCGCTCTTACTAGGAGTTTGTTGATGTGGTTGGTTACTGTGCGTCGTTCCAGCGGCACGGGGGAGGTGGCCGGTGTTATAGTAAATTAGGCTGTTGGCGCTGAAGGTTTCTGGGGTTGAGGGAGCCGGTCGGCCGAGCGGACAGCACGCTGGACTTGTGATCCTGTGGTCCCGGGTTCTATCCCGGGCGAGAAACAATGGGCAGAGTTTCTTTCACCCTATGCCCCTGTTACCTAGCAGTAAAATAGGTACCTGGGTGTTAAAGTCAGCTGTCACGGGCTGCTTCCTGGGGGTGGAGGCCTGGTCGAGGACCGGGCCGCGGGGACACTAAAGCCCTGAAGTCATCTCAAGATAACCTCAAGATGGTGATGGTCGTAGCTGGCGTCAGGATGGTTTAGGTGAGGTGGTGGTGTTGGCCCTTCTCTTCTTAAGGACCCCGCGGGACATAGCACGCTTACGGGCTCACCATAGCCCGTGCTTCTTGCCCCGCTCCTGTGCCAGGTAAGTTACGGGCTCACCATAGCCCGTGCTACATGGACACTTCGTTCTGAGTAGCTGAATCTAAAAACAACAGCATTGCATGCATGCTGTCTACATCTCATGCTTCATGTGAACGAAAGAAATTCAATATTGATGTATTGTACATCAATATTGTAAGATTGGGGTAT